TATCGGACAAAACCCGTACCGCCCACTATGAAAGCTGGAACGCCCACTAGTGGGCGGTAGGGACCAGGTTGACTACCGCTGCTCTAGACATGGAAGAATTGCGTTACTAAGAGCCATGGTGGTGCAGTGGTTAGAATGCAGTACTGCAGGCTAATTCTCCTGACTGCTGTCTCACAGCCGTTTGGCAGTTCGATTCTGACTGGCTCAAGGTTGACTCAGCCTTCCATCCTTCCGAGGTGGGTAAAATGAGGACCCAGATTGTTGGGGGCAAATAGGCTGACTCTGTAAAACCGCTTAGTCCTCAACTTACAAAAGCTCATTTAGTGACGGTTCAAAGTCACAACTGCATTGAAAAAAAGTGACTTATGACCATTTTTCACAGGTAGGACAGTTGCAACATCCCCATGGTCATGTGACTTACAATCAGATGCTTAATAACTGATTCATATTTGTGACAGCTGCAGTATCCTGGGGGTCATCCATTCCCCTTCTGGCAAGCAGACTCAATGGGGAAACCAGATTCACTTAACAACTGTGTTGCTAATTTAAGAACCATAGTGATCCGCTTAACAAATGTGCTGAGAGATGTCGTAAAAAGGGGGGCAAAATTCACTTAACACATTTCTCACTCAGCAACTTACATTTTAGGCTCAATTGGGGGTCCTAAGTTGAGGAGTACCCATATCAGTCTGCTATTGCTACTGCTACTAAGTTAACAACCGCAGCGATTCACTTAACAATTGTGGCGAAAAAAAAGAGGCAAAAGTCACCATCTCACCTGTGGACTGGGATCAAGGTAAAGGGATTATCATGGACACATGGGAGAGCCATCCTATTGTCTGGGATTGGTGCCATGGTTAAGTCTATAGAAAGGCCAGGAGTCACAAAAAATCTAGAGCAGGGGTGTCACATTGTCATCACGTGACGTATTGTGACTCCCCCCCCTCGCTAAACCGGCTGTAGGCGTGGCCAGCGCATGAAGTGAGTTTTACAGCCTTGTTTTAGAGCAGTGTTTCTCAACCTTGGTCACCTGAAAATGCGTGGACTTCAACTCCCAGAATCCCCCAGCCAGCAGCGTTGGCGGGGGATTTCTGGGATTGGAGCCCCACGCATCTTCAGGTGGGCCAACATTGAGAAACACAGACTTGAGAAAGGCATCTGACATTTTCATGGAGAATTTGAGGTGTTCACCAACAGAACTTTCCTACCACTAGAGGGAGCAGTGATATTAAAACTCTCCTGTGCGGGGAATCATTTTATATCCTCTTCCACGTTAAGTGAATGCTATAATTTTTGGATTTAAAAGATAATGTAAGAACTTAGATGCCAGGGCAATCTGAACGTGGAAAGCATGCAGTCAAAAAGTCACAAGAGGACATCGTTTTAGAATCAATCAGGTGAATCTCTATCCACCCAGAATTATTCCCCTTTTATATCTGATGATACGCCATCAAAGGACTGCCGACACATTCCGCGTGGTTACCGATTAGCAAATTAAACAAGATTAGCATTAACCAAGCACAGCACAGGCAAAAAGAGTGACGCCACAGGTAAGCACGCATTCAAAGTCACCAGGAGTTAGCATTCTCAAAGAAAGCAGAAGGCAGAGCTGCATTCATTCAAATATGAGCGATGGAGATGGAGAAGATTAAGAATAGGGAAGAGTAGAATGAATTGAACCGTGAAGAAAAATAGGTATTTTTTTAGGCTAAGGCTGCCTTTGATCATGCCATTTCAGGGTTTCGTGTCAAAACAATAAGAGACAGGTGGAGACAGGTGAAGCTAGTCGTCACTTATAAAGCCCTTCATGGTATTGGACCTGGGTACTTGAGAGACTGCCTGCTGCCAATCACCTCCACTAGACCGATTATATACCACAGATTAGGCCTCCTCCGAATTCCATCCGCCGGCCAGTGTCAACTGGCGACTACCCGGAGGAGAGCCTTCTCTGTGGCTGCTCTGACCCTCTGGAACGAGCTCCCCGTGGAGATTCGAACCCTCACCACCCTCCAGGCCTTCCGCAAAGCCCTTAAAACCTGGCTGTTCCGACAGGCCTGGGGCTAAAGAGCTGTTGCCCCCGTCTCGAATGGTATGACTGTTGTGTGTTTTTAAATTATGCATTGTTATGTTTCATTTTTTATTTTTTGTCTGTACCCCCCCTTCCCTGATTTGAATTGTGAGCCGCCCTGAGTCCCCTTCGGGGGAAAAGGGCAGCATATAAATATAATAAAATCAAAATCAAATCAATCAAGAAGAACTGTGATTGATTGCATTTAAAAAACAAATGCATCGATTTAACTAATTGATTTGTCCAGTTCTGAAGAAACTTTTCAAGTGAGAAGCGAGACATCTTCAAGGGGGGGGAAAAAAGCTCAGTGGCCTCTTGAAAAAAGCACCTTTGAGTGTTCAGAGATAGATACAGCAGTTAAATATAGTGATGGACAACCAACAAAACTCATCTGATTTGAGCGATTCAGAGGATGGTTTGAAATGTTAGCGAGTGATATGAGGACAATCTACAAATCAAGCATGCAGGGATTCGGAAGCTGTACCTTCAAAACCGAAAGGAGTTGGATCGCTTTTGATTTCGTGCCTCTTGACTTTCAACGCAGGAACAAGGGGACCTGTGCAAAGTTTGCAGATAATAAAGATTGGAAATCCAGTTAGATGATGCCAGGCCTGCTCCCTTAACATGGAGAAAAAGGTTCAGCACTTGATGGGAGAAGCACAAGGTTGTGAGATCGGCAGCAAACTATCCAATGCTTCGCTTTTATCAATTATTTCTGCTTAGCGAAAGAACTATAGGATTCCTACCAAGGGAGTCGGGCTCAGACTGATCTCCTCTCTTCATGCTTTAAGAATTATTACATTTCATGCCCATATATATGAGTTTTCTGTTCACATGAAACTTTGCGTGATTCCAGCGCATGCAACTCTGCCTCCATATTCTCTCTGACTGCAGAAAATTGGAAGTTAAAAATGGATAAGACAACAGAGCCTCTAATATTATGTCGACCACGAGAATACATTTTGCATTGATAGATAGTAAATTTCCCCTTAGTTTTTTCCTCTCGGCGATGGAAGTTTGTTCACTTACATCAGGGGTGTCAAACTTGATTTCAAAGAGGGTTGTGGCTCACCTTGGAGACCAGGCTGGGATGGATGTAAGCAGGGTGGAAGTGACCAGCTTCCCTCCCTCCCTCCCTCCTTCTCATTCCCATTTCCCTCCCTCCCTCCCTCTCCCCTTCTCTCCTTTCCATTCCCATGTCTTTCCTTCCTTCTAAGGCTGACTGTGTTCCAGCCAGGATGGCAGCCATCAAGTTATAGATTAGGACCTGGACCACAGCTGAGGCACCAGGGGCCGATCCTTCGCTGTCTCAAGGACAGGGGTGGGATTCAGCCAGTTCGGACTGGTTGGGGCGAATCAGATGTTAATTTTACACCTGGTTCACCGAACCAATAGTTGCTACACTGGCTGGCCCCTCCCACCCCTCACCTCCCAGGAGTCCCCGTTTTGGATGTCAGGTGAGTGCAGGGCCCATGCAGAGGCCCTGGGAGTGTGAAAAATGGGCCACTCGGAAGTTCCAGAAGTCTGGAATTAGGCCCGTTTCTGGATTCCGGAGCCCAGGGGAGACTGTTTTTGCTCTCCCGGAGGCTTGAGGAAAGCCTCCGGAGCCTGGGGAGGGTGAAAACACCCCTCCACCGCTGTGGTGCAGGAGGCCGAGTAGGCCATGCCCACCCAGCAACTGGGCAGAAAACTGGTTGCTAAAAGTTTTGAATCCCACCCCTGCTCAAGAGTAGCCCCATGGGCCAAATCTAACCACATCCTGGGCCGGATTTTGTCCCATGGGCAAAATTTGAATTTGACACTGACTTACATAATATATTGCATTACCATGTTTTTAATCAGATATAACCTGGGATAATAAAGATGTCCTTGAGTCACACCCTGCTCTTGGTAACTGCATCCATTTCACACCTGGTAATTACACACCATTATCTCTCTCAGCGACTCTTCTGAAAAACTTGGTGTGTTATTTTTTATTTCCAAGTCTAGCTAACAGCCCTGGGATTTTTTTTGGGGTGGGGGGGGGAACTTTTCCATCCAAGGGTTAACTGGGCTGACCCCACTTAACTGCAGAGACCCACTAAACTAAAGTATTGATAACATGCTGAGTATCATGATAGAAACTGAATCACGGGTTTCCAGGAGAAACTAATATTCGTGACCCGTCAAAAGCGCGGAGGACAAAATCACGCTCGACGAAAGCGCGCATGTGATGTCATCACAGCGCGACGAAAAAAATTAAACATTGAAATAAAATTAAAATTAAAGCAAACCGATTCACATAAAGGTAAGGGTTAGGTTAAGGGTTAGGGTTAGGGTTAGGTTAAGGGTTAGGGT